ACCTAATGATTAGGAAGGTAAGCTAATCATAACTGGTAATTAAAAAACTACTGCTGGTAAACTTGAATCAAGAAACATAAATTTGGAAGGAGGGGAAATTGTTGTAAATTTACCTTTTAAAATCTTTTCATGAAGGAAGATATTATTTTTGACTTCTATATCTCAATAATTTAAGTCATATGGGAGTTCCAGGTTAGGAAATGGATTTAGTACAAAGATGTCACTTTCTTGTGGTAATTCTCAAAAAAGTATTGCTAACTATTGTGACTTAATAGGTACCTGCTAGCTGGCAGAATCACAAAAAGTTCAGAAACTTGCTCTGCTCGTTAAAGATTGCCAATTTTATATTTATCACAGAATAACATTTTCATACAGGTTATTGGGAGACGGTGGTTTTGCTAAATTGTATTGTGTTATAGTCTAAACCTAAAAAAGATAGCCCCTAAAACCTTACATATTACCTTCCAGATGTTATCACCAAAAAGAAAATGGATATGTGTACAAGAGTAACTTTATTTACAATAATTTTTATTATTATTATTATTATTATTATTATTATTATTATTATTATTATTATTATTATTATTATATATGACAGTTTATATATATTAAAACTATATCAACCATTGTTTATTCCTAATGTTATGCATATTATTCAAATAGCACATATGGTCCTTAACTCAAAAGATGCACTTCACAGGGCCTGGGTACTTACGGGACCGCCTTCTGCCACCAATAGCCTCCCACCAGCCAGTACACTCCCACAGAGAGAGATTCCTCAGGGTGCCGTCAGCCAGGCAATGTCGGCTGGCGACCCCCAGGGGGAGGGCCTTCTCTGTGGCAGCACCTGCCCTCTGGAACGACCTGCCCCCGGAGATACGTAGGATACCAGATCTCTGTGTTTTTCGCCGTGCCCTCAAAATTTTTTTATTTCACCAAGCTGGGCTGGCGTAACCCCCCCCCCCCCCCTTAGATATTTTAATCGTAACGGATTTTAGTTGTGATGTTTTAAATCTGGGCCAAAATTTGTCTAATTCTTTTAATTAATTTTAAATTTTGTATTGGATGTTTTTATTCTTGGCTGTTCACCGCCCTGAGCCCAGCAGGAGAAGGGCGGTATAAAAATTTAATAAAAAAATAATAAATAATAATAATATAACTGACCTTCTGTAGATTGTACTTGGACTTTGAAGATGGACGTATAACATGAAAAAAATATGAAGAAACCTCCATATTATATTACAAGAAGTGATAACATTTAGAGCCCAATAGCCACTTTACAAAATCCACTATTAAATAAGAGAAAAGGCCATTTTTCCTGCTTTGCATCAGTCACATTATAAAGTGTTTTATTAAAGAATGGAACAAGCCTTTTTTCTTGTTTTGCACTCTAGTGAGCAAATGGTTTTGACAACATTATGCAAAATTTGCAGTTCACTGAGCGGATAATATTGCAACCAGATGTTGATATTACAGATTAAGCTATTGTTGGCTACAGCTCAATATAGCCAATAATAGCTTAGTCTGTAATATTGGTGCAACTTTGGATGGTGGTCATTTTGCTAATCTGAGAGGGGAGGGGGAGTTTATAACTACCTTCCATTCCAAGTATAAATGTGGTAAGATGTACACTCATGTACTACAACAAACTTTCAGTGCAGCGTAATCAAACACATCAGTGCGATCTTTAAAATGAAAGAGGGAGGGAGGAATAGGCGTTTGTTTGTTCTACCAAACATGAATTCAGCCACATGGCCTAAAACAGAAATTGAAGACAAACACACAGGAATGTACTGCATACCTTTTATTAGCAGTCAGCTGGACTTTACCGTGTTTCCTCAAAAATAAGACCCTGTCTTATATTTTTTTGAACTCTGAAATAAGCGCTTGGCCTTCTTGCCATGCATGCAAAATCCGATTGGGCTTATTATCAGGGGATGTCTTATTTTGGGGGAAACAGGGTAGGAATAATGTTATGTTTTTGAAGACTACCTATTCCTAACTACATACAAGGCTTCAAAAAACCAAAAATGAAACCTTTACATAGTTTTATGTTTATATTCCAAATGCATAAATATGAAAATAGAAAATATCCAAAAAGACATGTCCAGCAAGGTGAATCAGTTGTGAAGAAATCATTGTCCTCCACTAATTTTTATGATCCATACGAAGACTAGCAGAATGGTCCAAAGTAAATTGAAAGCACTCATCATATTTGTAAACGATGTTCAACATTTAGATGAAATGTTAAGAACAGATCACCCTACAGACACATTTTATAATTTCCTGGTTCCATTTTTAAAAAGTTCCTAATATTAAAAAAAAGGAGAATTTTAAGCAGTTCAAAAACAAAGCATTTAACAGAAGCTGTACATAAATTAGGAGACATTTTCTATCTGCCTTTTCCCTTCATTTTCCCATTCTGTCTCTTAAGTAAGCCTGAGGATGCTCTGAATAATAATATATAGGTATAGATAGGTATATATATTGAAAAATGAGCCCCCATCCTTTTGCAAGACAATCCCTGCAGAGGCTTTCAATGTCATAAATATACTACTTGCAGCAGTCTGTCCCTTTTTGCTGCCTCAAAGAGGATGACAGCTTTAATGTTTTGACAGCAATGTGAGGAACAAAAGTGAACATGAAGCAGCAGGCAGTGGCATATAGCTCAGTTGGAGTTTACTTATTTAAAAATCCCCAGCTTACAGATGCTTTAGCACTTTTTTGAACTCTGTGGAACTTTTTGTGATGCAAATGTTCTCTGAAATAATTGTCTTGTGGTAACATGCTCTATTATGTTGTTTAATGATTCATCTTGCCACCGATCTTGATACTCAATACAGGTGAAACAATAAACACAGTAAAGCTTATCATCAAGAGGCTGGAAAAACTTCAATAGAAATTCGGTAGCATTAATAGAAGCATCAAGCAGTTTCTGAGCTTTGCTGTTTTCTCTGTTCTATCTTTTTAAAAAGAAAGGGATTTCATAGGGATTTGGGAAACAACTGTAACTAGTTAACTTTCCTTTGCAAAATAAAAGCACGAAATATGATCTAGTTATTTATTTTTTTCTCGCTTCTCTGAAATTATTTATATAGCCAGTTTGAATGGATCAGGCAGTAAAAGACGTGTAGCTGCTGATACTTCCTGACTGCTATGGCAGCCAAGGAAATTAGGTTGGTGTGAAGTAGTATATGGAAACAGACAGCAGACTTGAAGATGTTTAGATTTTTAAAACAAAAGAAAAATAAGATTCTGATGAGAAATGACAGCGTTTGGTAAGAAAGGAGCATGAATTACATAGAGCTTTTTTAGGCTTTCTAAACTCTGCTCTTCCTAAATTAAAAAGAAAAGAGATGGCTATCTTAAACGGCTTATATATTATTGTTTCCCAAAACAGCCATTGAGGAGAGGAGCTACGTAAAATGATTTCTATAATGGCTATGGGGCAAATGCGTGAAGGTGCCTCAAGGGCTGGAGAGCAAACCAAGAAGCAAATCACAAATTTGCCTCCTGGAAAATATGCTTTGTGATTGCTCATAGAAAGTTGTTCCTACCTATCCATGCATCCATAAAACATCTTTTTCCATTGGAAAACCTGCTGTTAAGATTCCTTTGGATTTTTGGCTACTGTAGACTTCCCATCTATCCAGTTTCATTTTGTATTATTTTCCTTGAAAATGTGAATACATTTTAGCAATGTGTCACTCTCCATATCACAGGTATTTTCTGGGACTATTCCTAAAATCTCCATTTAATTTTTTTATAATAATCTTATTGGAAAAAAATAATATTGGAGGATAATGGGGTCTATTATCAGGAGTGTCAAACTCGATTTCACTGAAGACCGCATCAGGGTTGTGTTTGACTTCAGGGGGCTCAGATGGTTGTGGTTGGGGTGGCCGTGGCCAGCTCGACGTCACTCGTATTGGTGGCCAAGTGCTAAGGCAGGACTTCCCTCAGACCCTCCCTCACTCTCATTATAATCTCCTTCCTTCCTTCCTTGTCTTCTTTTTCCTTCCCACTTCCCTCTTTTCTTCTTCCTTCCCTCTTTCCTTATTTTTCCTTCCTTGCTCTCTTTTCATCTTTCTTTTTTTTTCTTGTTCTTTCCTCTTGCTCTTTCTCCTTTCCTGTCCCTTCTTGCATGTTCAAATGCAGAAAGGGAAACATTACTCCTTTTGTTTTGTTTTTAATTTGTTTTGCTAGCCGTGTGCCAGCAAAAATGGAGCTTTTCCTGCCAGGAGGCCGTGCAGGAAGCTATTGTGGCTGAAAAAGGGGCTCAGGGGGGCTGCACAGCCCCCCTAGCTCCGTTTTCACAGGGCTGTGGGAGGCCAATGCAGTAAAAAAAGGGGCCTGGGAAGGCCGCACATGACCCTCCATAGCTCTGTTTTCGCTGGCAGATGCACCACTGGATGGTCCTTTGCTGTTTCCAAAGGACCATCCCATGGGGCCAGATCTAAGCACCCCATGGGCCGGATCCAGCCTGCGGAGTTTAACACCCTTCCCTGGATCAATGAATTCCTTGATCCTCTCCTATTTATTCTACCTTTTTCAAAAACTTTGTAGGAAATCCTTTTTCCTCCTAGTTCTTGAAACTTTTTAAAGTCCAACAAGTTGCATTAGTCTTGTTCCTATCCTGAATATGGCAACCTCATCTTTTTCATGGGTTAAGGAATGTCACCTTTCTATAAATAGAAAATATCATCAGTTAGGCAAGATATAGCTTCTGTACAGATGCAGAATTATATGCAAAGTTTTGGGCTATGCTAATTATGTCAAGAATAATTAACTATCGGAACACAGAGAATACTGGATACTCATAAAAAAGCAATATATATATATAAATATTTTAATAAAATATATTCAATATTTTAGCAATGATCTGTTAAAAAAATCTTACAAGCAAAATCTTACAGGCACTTTTTATTTGTGGGATTCATGTCATTAAGTACTACCACTTTTTACTTCACTTCCCTGAGAATAGATTAATGAGTATTCACCAGCATTTATGTTGTTTCTTCTCTCAGTCTGACCGAATGTAATAGTTTCCCTTGGTTCTGTAAGCACTCTTTTAATTTATCTTCAGTTAAAGTCAGGCGCTGTTCCAAGATTGAAACTGTCTGTTAGAAGGAGAAAATAATGAACACTATTAGATGCTTGCTAAATGTATATTATGTTATTCGTTTTTAATCCATTCAAGAAATCAGAATTGCAGCAATTGATCAAATAATCTTAACTTTTCTAAATAGATTAGGAAGTCCGAAATATTACTTCCCCAAAGACTCTTTATTATCAAGTCATAAATTTGGATACCTGCAATACAGAAATGTAATGCCTCATATTCTTATAATTAAAAAAATACTAGAGAGGAACAATAAAATCTGGCATGTCATCTGTACACTGGTATGGCAGGATCGCTATAAAGCAGGATGATGTGGCATATATAGTCAAATATAGATTATAAATTATAATTACCAAAATGCAAATTAACTATCTTCTTTTATCTTAGTTCTGAAAGTGAAATTTTTGAAAAGCTAATTCTCTCGACCTTATGCTATTATTTGAGAAGCAAATAATAACAATTGGTGCTATATAGTATTAGATACACCAACCAGCAAGAACAACCTGCAAGAACAGCATGAAATATGATTTGTGGGCTCCAGTTTAAGAAATGGGCAAATCACCCTCGCTATTGGCTCAGTGGCTAAGACGCTGAGCTTGTCGATCGAAAGGTCGGCAGTTCAGCAGTTCGAATCCCTAGTGCCACATAATGGGGTGAGCTCCCGTTAACTTGTCCCATCTTCTGCCAACCTAGCAGTTCGAAAGCACGTAAAAAATGCAAGTAGAAAAATAGGGACCACCTTTGGTGGGAAGGCGTTCCGTGCACCTTTGGCATTTAGTCATGCCGGCCACATGACCACGGAGATTTCTTCATATAGCGCTAGTTCTTCGGCTTTGAAAAGAAGATGAGCACCGCCCCCTAGAGTCGGGAACGACTAGCACATATGTGCGAGGGGGACCTTTACCTTTTGCTTTTATATGCACTTGGAAGAGATACCCACTTAAGGCATGGAGCTCTATGGATCGAACATATGAATATAATTATTTGAAATATTTATATGAAGCTTTATATCTTTTTTGAAAAGTTTAATCCATTTATGTCTTACATTCCACCGATAAGTCTGTCAAAGAACCTGGGTCACATAATGACAGAGATTAAAAAGTACTTTCTTCTAAGAAGAATATTTATATGTTTATACACTTTCTTTTGTTACATTTATCATTTATGGTAAGTTTCTTCCAACAATCAGAATCAAAAATAGAGATATAACTTTATAAGCTTTTCTATCTGAGGCACCGAGCCATGGACAGAATATATTCTCTTTCTCTCATATGAATTAGTATCCCAATCCCCAAAGGGGCAGTGATAACAATATGTAAATTCTCTCATACAGTACTGTAGAGAAAACATATCTTGAACATAAACAGTAACTTTTCTTATGATGAATTATTCTTGGAATCCTGACACTTTTACAACTTGTAAATCTTCAGTTGATGTAATGATATTGTCTTAGCCGGGATTTTTGCTCTCCCCATCCATTGTCAATGTAGCTGCTTTTGCAGATAAATGACTGAGCTCCAAGACATGCTCAAAATAGGCTCCTTGGAGAAAAAATAATAATAGCAGACAAAAATCACACCAAAATATAAAAAAGGATAACACGATCACATTCAAAAAGGCTCTTTTATATAATAGAACACTTGACTGTGTCATTCACCTACTCTACCCATCTCCATTTGCTATACTCAATCATGCATTTGTTTAAATGGATGGTTGGATATGTTGCAAGCCCAGGTTGAGCTGTAATTGGAAGACAGACTGCTGCCTTAATGCTTAGCAGGTTGCTTTAAATTGCGTCGAGGAACAAGTTTGCACTCCAGTCAGAATTGCTGCTCAGGGATACAATTAGCTGAGATACCTAACATTCTTGATCCCATTCTGGTCTCATCCATTACCAGCAACTCAGTTAAGGTTACTTAGGTTAGAAATAAGATACTCTCTGTAGTGCTCTCTCATTTATGAATGAGACAAAAGCAACCTTGAGTCTCAACCTCCGGGAAAGAAGTGCTGGGCACTTTTGGTGGGAATCACATCTTGCCCTAGCTTCCAAACAATGTAGATTATTTCTCAATGTCACTGGTTGCCCAACATAACTGACAGAAGCAAGGGAAACACAATTACTAGTTTACTGGCTGTCCCAAAGTTCCACGGGCCCCCTGACATGCAATGCATAGTGACTGTAGGATGGAAATGTTGCCTTTCCTAGTTCCTCCCAATATGAACTTTCTGCCTTTTTCTGGTAAGAAGGTGCTCTCTATCACAGAACAAACATTATTAATGTGACAGCCTGTTCTGCTTTTGTCATGCATTCTACCATAGTTCAAACTTAGCCATCTTTCTGATTCTGTAGATAAACTGATTTTATTCTAGGTTAAGGGAAAGCATATTAGGACATTTTCCTTCTCTACCTTGTAGCAGCAATCCTTTTCCAGTAGCTTAAATCTCTTTTCTTTCATTCTGGTATTGGTGACAAGTATGCCAGTATATCACCAGTGGCACATATGCCACATATGAGAAACACTCGCTTAAATTGTATGTGAATGTTATTTACATTCTATTCTAATTTGGAAAGAGGTCATATATGCCTTCATATGTGACAATGAGGATCACACAAGACAACTTTAAAAAGTGTTTAAGTCACCGTTCATGCAAAGCTGCTCAGTTTGGAAGCACTTATTTTATTATTTACTGTAAAGAGAGGGCTAAAAAATTGAAGGTTCTCTCAGATCCGAAGCTGATGAATTCATCTACAGATTTGATATACACCATTCTTGAAAATTTTGAAAGATAGGGTACAACTTGGAATGTTGTACCCTATCTTGGAACAGTCTTGAAAACAGTCTTGGAACGTGCTGGAATTTCTAGCATGTATACACTATTGAAACAGCGACGTCTACGCTGGCTGGGGCATGTCGTGAGAATGGCTGATGGTCGGATTCCGAAAGATCTCCTGTATGGAGAATTAGTACAGGGAAAGCGCCTCAGAGGGAGACCACAGCTGCGATATAAGGATATCTCCAAGAGGGACTTAAAAGCCCTGGGAATGAACTGGGAAACCTTGACCTCCGTTCGTTCAGCTTGGAGGCTAAAGACGCAGCATGGCCTTCTCCAATTCGAAGAGACACTTGTTCGGCAGGCTGAGGCAAAGAGGCAGTCCCGGAACCAGCAAAATCTGGGAGCTGGGCAGGGGACAGAATGTATCTGCCCTCAGTGTGGAAAGGATTGCCACTCTTGAATTGGCCTTTTTAGTCACACTAGATGCTGTTTTAGGACCTCTTTCCAGAGCACGATACCATAATCTCTTGAGACTGAAGGATGCCAATGATGAGGGTACAACTTGTAAAACAAAGTAAAAATGTTGAATGAAGTGTTTCAAGTCTGGATAAAAGCCATGTTTGAGGCCCCTTCCCACATGGGCCAACTTCATTTGTTAAATGTAAAATATAGACGGAAATTTAAACTATTTAAGAAGAGTTCAATTTCAAAACTGAACTCTAATATAGAGGTGCAGGAATACTCACAATTGTCAGAACATCTAATTGCTCCACAATATGTTCCAAGGCAGTAGTCAGTACTGGTGAAATGCCCACAGACTCATCCATGGTTCCTGGTCCAGCCACAGTGTGCATCATTTCCCCTTTCAAATTTCTTTTTAACATTGCTGGAGAAGGTAACATGGGAGGATGCTGGATGTCTTCATTGTTCATCCCATTTTGGTGCATAGGCCAATGGGCTACAGATGGATTCGTTCTCAACTAGATTTACAGAAGAAAACAGAAAGCATATTTGTGCAGCTTCATACGAAAATGGGTATCCATTTTCTCCTACTAACAAACACATCTAATAACAGGTATTATTTCAACTACTACTTTTCTACTCCTGATTTTGGACAAACATTAGATTGAGCTCAATCTTCTATTTTGTTTGTCTTGTTTTTTCAAAGATCTTGAGCAACTCACAATATTTTTGTTTTCTCCTTGATCGTTTTATAACTGATATGTGTCCTGGCATTGAAAGATCCATAGAACTAGTTTGGCAATGTGTTTCCCCTTCCATAGCAGGGATCAAAATCTGTGGCTGTTTGCAGTTTGTTCATCTACAACACTGGAAGCATTGTCAATGGTGAGGAATGCTTCAAAAGAACATTTACTCAAAGAGTCTTGCTCTCATAGAATTCCTTACCCCTTCCCCAAGCAATTTCTGAATCTGAAAAGTCTATTCAGAAAATTACAACACAGCCTTGAGTGGTATGTATGGAGCATCTGCTGTTAAAAAAAAGGAAGAGTAATGTTTAAAAACTTCACTGGGCATGTCCAAGATTTCTGTACCTCAAAAATAGTTTAACAGTATTCATGGATGATGGAACCCGTAGGTGCCATTTTACCACTACTGTCTTTTGATGTATACAGAGGAAAATTAAAGACATAAAATTTAGCTTCTGTAAGTTAAATGATAAGATCTCTTTTTTAAAAAAGAAAACGTAACAGGAAATTATTGCTATCATCTAATTCACCATTTAAAGAGAACAAAATACATTGTTTTCTATTAACAAAGGCCACCTTTGTTAAATACAGTGAGCTGTGTTTACATAAATACATGCAAAGTTATACATAAAATAATTGGCATTCCATGAGAGCAAGTGTTTACATTTGCAGGATAGAAATGGTGAAGTATCTTTGAAGCCCAAATTTACAGAGAAAGGAATGACATAATCTAGAAAAGCTTGCAGATAAAACAAGATGACCCAACTGATAATCAAGTGCTATAGTTCAAAGAGAAAACACCCTCAACTTTAAAAGTTACCAGTCTGTATAATAACACATTTATAAATTTATTTGAAAATGTTACATTTCCCCACCCCCAAATTTGTACTGCATTATACAAGTGAAATGACAAATCTTTGGCCATATTTTTCATAGTAATACATCAAACAGTTTTATCATTTCATGAAGAGATATATTTTATCTTTATATTTACATGATAATGACAGTCTTAAAGTGCAAACAGGCTCTGATCATCCTATTTTTAAGTACATGTTCTTCAATGCCATGATTCATTGCAAAGCCTATCTATAAAGTTTTGTTTATCATGAGATAATTCTGTTATTGCACAGGAAGTGAAACTCTAGAACAGTGATGACGAATCTGTGGCACACAGCGCCCTCTCTGTGGACACGCAAGCTGTCACCCCAGCTCAGCTCCCCGTGTGTGTGCTTGTGCCTCCCGCTGGCCAGCTGGTCTTTGGGTCTCTGCTGCACATGTGTGGGGTGTGGGGTGCATGCAGGGGGGGGCATGCACGCATTGTATTTTGGGGGTGCACACACGCTTTGGGCAGTCAGTACAGAAAAGGTTCGCCATCACTGCTCTAGAAGATAACCTGTTCAATTATTCTTATTGGTTTCTCCTTGGTTCCAGATTGGATCTCTCTTTAACGAGCTTCCATGTACTGCTTCTCGTCTACCTTCAGGTGCTTTGGAGTACAAGTCCTCTCTATGACTATGACTCTCCACTGAACTGCATCTTGTTAGATAGGGCCCAATGTTCAAGTCTGTCAAGATCCTTCTGAATCGTAAGTCTACCTTCCAAAGTGTTGGCAATTCTTCCTGGTTTGCTATCATCTGCAAATTTGATGAGTTCCCCTTTTATTCCCTTATCTAGACCGTTTATTAAGATATTGAAGAACACTGGGCCTAAAACAGAACCTTGAAGTACCCCACTATATGCTTCCATCCATGTACATTTAGTTGAGGACTACATGCTGAGTACAGCTGATCAGCCAGCTGTGAATCCGTCTGGTCGTGGTACTGTCTATTCCACATTGTCCTGTTTTACTCATGCTGGCTTCTAATGGTCGCTTTGTTTATTTTTAAGCGCTCACTAATATGCTTTTCGGTTATTTTTCTCTAGGTATTGAGGGTCAAGCTGATTGGTCTGTAGTTTCCTGGATATACTTTCCCCCCCCCCCTTCTGGTAGAATGGAATCATATCACCATTTTTTCCAGTCCTCTGGCAGTTCTCCTATGTTCCAGGAGCTCTGAAAGATTTTGTACAATGGTTCAGAGCTCACATCTGCCAGCTGTTTCAGAACCCTAGATGCAAACCATCTGATCCTCGCAATTTGAACTAATCTAAAGTGTATAGTAAAGTTTTAAAACCAATTTCTTACCTACTTTGATCTGCGTACCTGCTCTGTCTCCCACTGTGCTGCTTTTAATGGGCTGGATTAATATTTTCCTTTTGCGTAAAGACAGATGCAAAGAAGGAAATAATAAACCTAAAAGAAAGAACCTAAGTTCTCAATTACAGTTTTTGCACCTCTTTGTAAGTTAGCTTTATTTATTTCTTGCTTGCTAAGGGTGACAGTCAATTTAAATTTAGTAAAATGATGGCATCAAATAACGGCTACTTCTTTAACATACCCAAGAACTGCTTTATTTGAAGTAAAATTTATTTTTACCTTTGCAAATATTACAGGCTCTGCTTTTTTTATATTAAGCAGATGTTTTCCATGATCATTTCATAACTAACAATTCTTTTTTATATGACCATGTCAGTTGAATAAGATGTAATTTTCACCTTTCAGTAAAACAGTCTGGTTAAAGAAAAAAATAGCACACATTCAGAATCTAAAATTGTCAAAGGTTCTAGAGTTTCAAGGTGAGAAATTCCTTATCTGGCAGTCAATTCTAAATATAAATGCTGCAGGAAGGCAGAAGAGCAGGCAGGAAAGAAGGAAGGGAGACATATAGGCACTTTCATAAACTAGAAATATTCTTGTGGAAAGCATAGCTGCTAAAAATAGCAATACTAGCGCTAAAGAGAAAGTAAAGAAATAAATATTTGAAACCAATCTGTGAATGCAAACGATTAAGAAGATCTCACTAAAATAGTCCCAACTTTACAAGCAAAATAAACACTGTTTGTTTAAATTTGCAACATTTATTTTTCAGACTATATCGTATATACAAGAAACATTGCATGTCTTACAGTAAAGCAACTTTACAAAGAGGCAGAGTTCTGTAATATCCATACCAGATTAATGTTCTAGCAAAAATATCTTATTTTTATTTATTTTTCAAATGTACATAGCCACCCATCTCACAAAACAAGTGACTCCAGGCAGTGCACAACTAAGCTAAAAAGCAATAATTAATAAATATTATTATTAAAAAGTATTAAAACTATAAAAACACAGTTAAAAAAGAAACAATAGGCAAAGGGCTCTTAATAATAATGGAGCCACTTCAGACTTCAGCAGCTCCCTGGAATCGTCAGGTCTGATGGCACAATACCGTTACCCAAAATAATTTATTATTAAGTTAATATTTTTATTCCTCTTTTATTTTATAAATAATTTAAGGTGGTGAACATACAGTATCTAGTATTCCTTTCTTCTATTTTCCCTATAGCAACAACCCTGTGAGGTGAGTTAGGCTTCAAAATCTCACCAATACCATCGTAACTTTTTTTTTCTTGCCATAGTAGTTTCCTGCCTATTCAAGAATGGACTTGACTGTTACAATAAGTGATAAACTGTACTCAAACTGAGATAAAGGAGATACTCGGCATAATAAATCAAAACACATCACATAACTTATTGGTCATAAACCTGACCAATTTTTTAGATTATTACTAAATATCTTTGGAATATGTTGAATTACTGGTAGGGGGAGGAGGGGAAATGGATTAAAGTGCGTTCTTGTCAAAATTAAAGGAAAACTAGTTGAACTGTAAACTCACATTCCCCAAAATACTCAGAAAAAAAATCAAGGGTGAGTAATCCAAATCCATTTGCCATTGTCTCCCCTCAGCACTGCTGAGATTTTGAACCAAAATACTCAGTCTTTCATGATACTATTTTTGTTTGTTTGGTAAAAAAAAAAAAGGGGGGGGAGTATTTTTATCCTAAATCCCTCCAACTGGTGGGAGAAGTAGGTTGTGGCTTCTAATCCCGAGAAAGCTGCCTATCCCTGACTGCAGTAGTGAGAATATTTAGAATAGCTTTTTGTACTCTGACCAATGAAATAGAATCTGAAATAATGGCCATGCTTACACTCTACCTAGAATCGAAGCATTTCAGCATTATCAGATTATTTTTAAAACCATCCTAATCTAGACAATGCACAAAAAGGAGAGCTGTCAGTATTCAACATGCATTGCATGCAAATAAACCAGCAATCTTATGATATTTACTAAAAATAAGTATTACTGACTTTAATGGGATTTACTTCTAAATGTGGTGTATAACTACATTCCAGTCTTTCCAGCTTGTTCACTTTCAAGTGGAAAAATTTGTTTCATATTTAAAACAAATCTTTAAATGATAAAACTTTTCCCCAAAATAAGGTATACATGGGCTATTTTTTTAGCTTTTTCCAGTTAACATCTACAACCATTATCTTGAAAGTAGAAATGAAGCATATGGTATGTATGCAATAACATTCAACTAAAACTATTCTGGAAAAAAAAATCTATGTATAGTGTCCAATAGTAACAATATGTGATTTCTTTGATCTAAGGCCCACAAACTAACACAAATCTCAGAATAAATAAATATAGTTTATTAATATAGCTGGCAGGGCAAGCTACACATATAAACAGGGAGCAAACTTCATACGCATATTGATGTTACTTCATTGGGTAATGAAACGTCTGCAAGCAAACAATCAAGATCAGAGAGTACCAAGAACTCTGTAATTCAATCCCAAACTACATATATTCTCTTTTTTTGATAAAATTTCTTTTAAAAAATAAAA